AGGCGACTGCCTTCGGCTCAGGTCATGATCCTGGAGTCCCGGGATCGAGTCCCGCATCGGGCTCCCTGCTCAGCAGGGAGTCTGCTTCTCCCTCTCCCGCTCCCCCCTCTTGTGCTCTTTCTCTCTCTCACTCTCTCTCTCAAATAAATAAATAAAATCTTTAAAAAAAAAAAATCGACCTTATGATTTTGTCTTGACTTTTATAGTAAATGTTCTGACTATACAAAATAACCCATTTGCTTTAAGAACCCACATTAGACATCAGACACCAAAAGGTTTGGTTTTGCTTATTTGTTACATGTGTCCATGATTTGGGGTTTATTTTCCTCTCTCTCTTTCTTTTCCTTTTTTCTTGAACCTCCCTCTAACCCCCATGACTTGTGGAAAAAACCTAAGACCCAGCTAATCTTTGATAATCTATAGGAAGTTGGGAATTGGTTGCCTCCTGCTTTCTGAGTCACAAGTGTATTTTCTGTGACACTCCCAAAATAGTTCTGGGAAAGAAGAAAACAAGGCTTACTCAGAAACCCAACACACAAGATAAGAAAAACCAACGAATATTCTTCAAACAAGCAACCGCAGGGCTCAGATTTGAACCATTCTGTCCAAATGTGCAACCATGTCTTCCTTTTGTTTTTAGAAATCTGCTCCTCGTGCCTGTTGTTAATGGTGCTGAGGGCTGCAGAATGAAGCAGCCCCTTCCCTTTTGAGTTTGAGATGTTGTTTTTGCACAGCTGGGGCTGTGAGAAGCAGAAGCTGAGTGACAGGAAGGGACTGAGTATAGACCCAGATAAACAGAGGCAACAAATCAAGCCTGGCTGCCTTCAAAGCGAATTCACTTGTTTACTTCTGGAACATTTCTGCACTGACTTGTCATCATCTTTACTTGTTTTCATTGGTACATCTTATTTTGTTTCCTAGAGAGTCATGAAAACCACTTCCTAGGTGAACGAGAAAGTTTCCCACCATTTCATGAGTTGATCAAAGGCAGATTTACAGAGAAAGACTTGCATGTCAAAGTGAGGAAGAGCCTGGCAGGGCCTGGAAGACCTGGAAAGTTCACTTTCCTGACCCACCCAACCTTAATTCCGGAGATAACAGAAATATGTGGCCGGTGTCATGGCTGATGAGCTGAATGAAATAAGGTGTTCTAGAATGTAAATCTAGAATGCTTCCTGAGCCCCAGTGGGCACCCAGCACATTACAGCTGTTTGCTCTCATCTTCATTATTCCAGAGCTCCACTGAGGAGGGTGGGAGCAGTCGGGATTGTCAAAATGGCCTGAGTCTCAGGACCTGCCAGTGTCTGATGTGGGCCCTCAAACCAAACAGTCTGGGTCCCTCTCATTGAGCCCATGTCCGTTAATTGCACATCTGAAGTCCAGCTCCAGTTGCTCTGGTTATTACGCTCTGGCCCAGGGAGTCCTTGGAGACCGTGCAGCAGGATGTGTGTCCTTTCATGGAACTGAAAGTAGGGCAGCTCTCTTTCCACAGCAGCACAAGCTCTGCTCCGTCAGAAGCTGGAAACTCTGTGAAGAGGCTGCACACAGCAGTAAACGACAGGCTCCTTCTCTCGTCTAGGCAGCTAATACCCTCCTGGGATGGAGGCGGGGAACCAGTGGATAAATGGTGAATCACTCATTAGGTGTGCACAGATTGTGAGCAAGGCAGGGCAGGCATTATCAAGGTCTGACTGACGCCAGTTACAGCTATTTGCCGTTGTTTTTTGTTAAACGAAGAAAACAGAGATAAAGACGGTCCAGTGATTATAAACCATATGCCCTACTAATCATGTTTTCACGTTTGTTCACGAGTCTAAGAAGCCACTTCCCAGGTTATGTCCTTGACTAAACTGAGTGTACCCGAAATAACCAAAGAAAGTGACCTTCAGGTCTTGTGAGTTGGCTCACATTTGCCTTCTCTACGTTCACAGCTATTCCTTCTAGAAGAAATGAGAGAGAGAAAGTATGATGGGTATGCTCGAGTGATACAGAAATCATGGAGGAAATTTGTGGCCCGGAAGAAATACGTCCAAATGAGAGAAGAAGGTATTTCAGTCGTTTTGTTTTGTGCATTTCACGAATCTCGAGAATAATTTTGAGCTTAGGTGAAGTTACAGGTGTTCACTTTATTCTGCATATAATAACATGCATTAAAAATCTTACATTCGCATAGAGTTTCTCTGTGTTTTTCCACACGATTTTCCTCCTCTTTCCGGGAGACTGACCCTTCCATCTTCTCTGTCCTTTTGGTTAATACAGCCTCAGACCTCCTGTTGAACAAGAAGGAGAGAAGGAGAAACAGTATTAACAGGAACTTCATCGGGGATTACATCGGGATGGACGAGCACCCGGAACTCCAGCAGTTTGTGGGGAAGAGGGAGAAGATCGATTTTGCAGACACAGTGACCAAGTACGACAGGAGGTTCAAGGTACACACTGACCGCCGCCCATTGTGGGGAAAGTTGTCACTTTGACACGTCTCGTCCACCTTCTTAAAGCACATTTCCCTACAGGGTGTAAAGCGAGACTTGCTTCTTACTCCTAAGTGCTTGTACTTAATTGGACGAGAGAAGGTCAAACAGGGCCCAGACAAAGGCCTGGTGAAGGAAGTGCTGAAGCGGAGAATCGAGATGGAGAGAATCTTGTCCGTGTCCCTCAGGTGAGTGGCAAGTGTTGGAGGCACAGGGCTGCCCGTCCCTCCTCATCACCGCCATCCGCCGTTCCAAACACAGCCTGGAAAAAGGCCTGGCCAGGTTCCCCAGTTGTGAAAATCATGGTGAAGAGAACTGAGTGTCCCCTTCTTCCCTGAGAAGACCTGACCTTCGTAGGTCTCAAGAATGAGATTCCAAGAAGTGGCCTTCCGGTCAGCTCCACTAGTCAGGGGGTACTCAGATCCTTTGTTCTCATAAAACGTGAGAGAAAAACCTGTTATTCGAACACGAGTATAACAGCTCTGACTGAAGTGGGGCCAAGGGACCAGAGTCTGTCCCCAAGCCCACCTCACCCATGTCGAAGATTTAACCCATTTCACGCCAAAGGCCCAAGCAGAGGTTGCCATCCACTCCTCAGTATTGCTTTTTAGTTTGTTGTGACCATGGATTGTCCTGGGAGGGAAGTGTCTTTGGACTCCTGAAGTTCCTTTTTGCCTGTTCGGGCATGGAGGGAGTACAAATGGTCTCCATAATCTGTAGCCCTGGAGTCATTGCTAAATGCTCCCTTCAGCCCCAGGTTCACAGGCAGGGTTCCTGGCTCTTCCCGTCAGCAGTCGGGCTTTATTTTGACATAAATATGTGTGAGGAGACTTCCCTAAATCCTCCCATGCTCAGATCTCCCAGACTAAGTTCCCTCCAATGAGAGGAAATCCTTCCAGTCCACAGAAGGCTAAGAAAAGGGGAAGAAAGGCCCCTTTGAGCTCATTAGCTCCCCCTTGAGTTGCGTCCCTGGAGCCTTCTGAGGAGATTGTTGCTTCTGTCAGGGAAAGATGCGGGCCACCATTGCATTAAAATTGGTGCTGTTCTGGTTGCTTATGAACATGTCTTCTGGAATTGGGACACCTCTCAACTGTTATTCCACACAGAAGACAAAACTGCTGCTCTCGCGGAAAAAGCCAGGGTTTTGTGTGCTCAGGCCTCCGACCTACCAGGCTGGAAATCCTGGCTCCGGTGTGTAATCCAAAACAGATTTCAAGTTGTGTCCATTCTTTCCTGTGTCACTGTGGTTTCTGATTCTCTCTGTTCCCAATTTTCCTGATAAAGGGCCAGGTGGTGCTGTGAGGTTAAGTGTTTAAAACATTTCAGCTGAGGATGTGGTAAAACTTCTAAGCAGATGAGTCCATCAGCTGCCTCTCTAGCAGCCCCACGTCAGGTGGGCCTCAGTGCCGTGGGTTGGCAAGAAGAGCTCTTGGCACTGTCCCGTTTTCAGAAGGTCTTCCTGAGCATTCAGCTCACCAGCTGGGTCACAGCCCGAGCTGGGCAGCCTGCTGGCCACACTTCCTGGCTAGCTGGGCTCTGAGGCTGCCCTTGTTGTTCCAAGGAACCCAACTGGAAGCTTCTTGTTTTCTTGCATGGGGACCAGCTACACCTGGGCAAACGGGGTTAGCCGAAACATGCTGTGTACTCTTCACAGGAGCTGTGGCTGAACGCCAGCGCCTCATAGCTCCAGGGCGTCTGTGCTCATTCCTCTGAGAGAGGTGATGATTCTTCCTGTTATTATTATCAGGCCCGTCTTTAGCTTTCAGACCACTCAAGCAGTGTAATCATATGTCTACATTTGTATTAGCCACTTTGACACTATCTTTTTTGGCTAGTCCTTGAGATTTATCAAGGTGTGTGGGATATCCCCACTCAGATTTTTTCCTTTTGTCTTGTCTTCTCTCACAGCCTCTGGGGATACAGTGTCTCGTGGTAAAACCACCTTCCTCTGCCTTCTCTTGAGTGTTCATGGTCTAGACATTTGCTCCCTTATGGCCTTTCCTTATTAGAGGATGTAATAAAATGAGGTACTTAGCCTAAAAGTTGTTCTGGCTCTCCGGAAAGAAGAGTGTGAGTCATTGTAACTTGTGATCTGTGCATGTTGCAGTTACTGAGCCTCACACTCACTAAGTTTAATACTGTTCCCTTACTTCCTTCATCCACTGGGTTAGGCCAGTAATCTAAACCAAGTGAGGAATGCAAACAGATGGGTGATGGTATGTGCAGAATCAAACCCAGAGGAGAAATTGATTGTGGTACCAGACCACCAAACGTGTGTGTGTGTGTGTGTGTGTGTGTGTTCTCAAAATATTTCAATACTGGTATAGAGAAGGATTTTAACAGTTTTAATTCAGGGAAAAAGTTGTATCATGTGCATGTTAGTTGAAGACAGGCTTAGTGCTTGACTACTGGCTGGAATGATCACCCAGTGGCTTCTTCTAGTGAAGACCATCAAAGTGCCCACAAGCTCAGTCTTCTGGACCACCTCTAACTCTTATGACCACTGTCAAAGCAGAATGGGCTTGCAGCTCCCAATCAAACTAACCAACCATGCAAAAACAACCACATGACAGTTTGGGAAATGAGAGCATGACTATTTAATACGAAGGATTTAGTGTTGATTTCTTGCAGTGTGATCATGATATGGTGGCTATTTTTGTCTAAAGAGGCTTTGTTTGGGGCACCTGGCTGGCTCAGTTGGTAGAGCATGTGACTCTTAATCTCAGGGTTGTGAGTTCAAGCCCCACGTTAGGTGTAGAGATTACTTAAAAATAAAACCTTAAAAAAAGAAAATAAAAGAGGCTTTGTCTTTCCTTGATAAACAATGAAACATTCAAGGATAAAATAATATTTATACTTTGCTCTTACATAACCTAGTTTGTGTGTGGAAGTAGGGGTAGTGTGAGCATAGACAAATATGATTGTGGATTGGTAATTGTTGAAACCTCCCAACGTATGGAGGTTCATTCTGCTGTTCTATGTTTTTAAAATATTTGAAATTTTCCATAATAAAAGTCTTTCCTAATCTTCTGGTAGACATCATATTTTAGAATTTTTTACCTTTTATAAATAGACTGACATATATCTAATCAAATTATCATTGAAATTTTTTTTAAAAGTTTTAGTGAAGGAAGAAAATATAGGACAGGCCCAATAGCTCAGGGAGAGATGAAGACTACAGTTTCTCAAAGGGACTCTAGGATAATTTGAAAAGGAAAAATCCTGTCTAAATGAAACTTCAGTCAAACATTTCTGCCTTCATGGGAGAGTTGGCAAGAATATCAGGGGATGGGGCCGCCTGGGTGGCTCAGTCAGTTAAGCATCTGCCTTCGGCTCAGGTCGGGATCCCAGGGTTCTGGGATCAAGTCCCGCATCGGGCTCCCTGCTCAGCGGGGAGTCTGCTTCTCCCTCTGCCTGCCACTCCCCCTGCTTGTGCTCTCTCTCTTTCTCTCTAACAAATAAATCTTTAAAAAACAAAAAAAGAAATCAGGGATGGCACAGCAGCTTGTAGTTGAGACATTGGATTTCCGGGGCTTGGGGTATCTGCTCATGAAGGCCGATAACCATCAGTTTTTGAAAGATCCTTCAGGAGCTGCTTCTTGACCACGTTCTGAGCCGGCTTCGCTCTTATTTGAGAAACTCAGTTTGCTGGAACAGTGGCCCCAGGTGTCAGCCTGTGTTCTTTGCTCTCCTCTCGCATTGTAGGTGATGAAATCGGTACCATCACATCTCCTACTTGGGGTTCTGTCCAGGGAGGCTTCTAACGGTCCTTGTCATTCCAGTAGCTGACCACCAGAGACCCAAAAGTACATGGCTGCCTGTCTGGGTCAGTAGATTTTCTAGTACTTACATGCGATGGGAAAAGCCACCTGTAAGAGGACCTCAGGCAGATGCTCCCCTGGTCACGGCGTTCTTGCCCAGAATGTTTCCCTGCCTGAATGCCTAAACGTGGTAATAAGAACAGCCTGCTTCACTCCTGCTCAGCTGACCTGAATATTACTGACATCTTTACCTGATGTGACCTTTGAGTTTTGGGAACCTGCAAGCTGTCAACATTTTTGGACTGACCACCGACCTTCTGTTCGCTCTGGGATTCGAAGGTGAATGAGAACACAGTCACTGCCTCAAGGAGCTCCCTGTCGTTCTGGAAGGGGTAGCAGGGCATCTGAGTAGCCAGGTGCCATACAGGATACTCTTGGGATACAAAAGGCAGGGTGAGCCTTCTCACCTCCTTCCCTAGGGGGCTTCTGTTTAGGCCTGACACAGCATGTATCTGCTGTCTCGGAGAAATCAAGTAGGACCCAAGTTGATGCCATTGGTTTCCCTAAACGGTAGAATTCTGGGTAAGGTTTATTTTCTTCTTTAACCACCTTTGTACTTTACAGTTTGCTAAAAAGCATATTTCATAATTAGGAAAAAACTATATAAAGCTTTAAATAAAGGCAGGACTGGCCTAGGAAATTGCCTTTTCAGCTTAAGGAGGGGGAAAAAAAAAACCAAGAAACTCCTTTAAGTCTTTACTCAGTGTTTTGTAACTAACGTTTTTGTGCAAAAGACATTGGTTAAGGGAGTGAAACAAGATGTTCTAGTGTTGTCAGCGGTACAACAATAAGCCACAAAGATGAGGGGATAAAAATCGAGTAGAGAGCCAAACCAGGGACTAGTAAAGGATCTTTCAACACGGGGTTCTGTATCAAACATCTGTAAGGAATTGTAGCCTGAGCATATGAATAAGACAGGGGTGAGGTCCAAAGATAAGTCTGAGTTTTTAGAATAAATAAATGTAAAAGCTTTGTTTTTACACCCTGGAGCATGGGCTGAAGAGAGGCAAATGAACTGAAACCCTGGCCTGGCCGAAGACGGTTGCACTGACTCCCAAGCCTGGGTCACTGGAGGGAGGGGTTTTTTGAATTTGATGGTTGAAGTCGAAGTGTCCAACCACTTGTTCTCATTTCCAGACTCCTGCTAATTGACCCTGAAGTTTTGGCCTGCTTGCTTTTTTTCTTTATGGTCACTCCTAATAAATCTAAGTACATTAAACTACTCAAGGTTATTTGCATTGGGTTCACTTAGCCCTGTTGAATAAGCACTGTCCCGCCTCAAGTACAGCCGGGCAGACAGACACATCCAGACATGCCCCGTTCCTCACTCCACACACCAAAAAGTGGGGCTTCTTGTTTTACTCTCTCCCTATTGCATACACTCCCTTCCTCATGCAACAGTCTTTTTGCCCCTGGGCCAGGATGCGGGGATGCTTGGATTTTATTTCATTCATTCCAAATGACTTCTACCTAAGTACCTTTGTTTGGAGTTCTGAAGTGCTATAAGCGAAGTGATCAAGACAATTCCAGAGTTTTCATCCGCCTAGAAACAGAAAGATGATAATAGCTTTGTGGCTACACCCTCTGAGGTGCATTCTCAGACTTTCAGATTCTAATTCCTAGTTTGGAAAAGTTTATGAACAAGGAGGTGTAGTAGACCTTGTGAGCTGTCCTGCAAGACCTATTCTCTCCTTTCCATATGAAGAGCTGACGGCCGACCCAAAGACTGCATTTCCCAGGCTTCCTTGCAAGCTAGGGGTAACCATGTGACATAGTGCTAGCCAATGGGGTGTGAGCAGAAGTGACTTGTACAACTTCCTGGTCCCACTTGCGAAAGGAAGGCGTAGATGCCTTGCCCCCAGGCGCTGTAGCAGGGTCACTTTGGCCCTGAATTGCTTTTGCACCTGCTGTTGAGTAACAAGAGACAAACACGCAATGTTGTTTAAACCACCAGTTGCCATGGTCTTCATCACGCCAGAAAAACCTATAACCCAACTATAACAAGAGTGGGCAGGAAACTAGTTGTGATGGAGGGAAGTTTGAAAACAAACTCTTGAGATGATAGTAATAACTGAGTGCTCCCCGCAAATGGCCATTATGTGTCCAAACATGCCTGTGAAGTATTCTGACTTCACATCCAAGAAGAACTCTTGGACATACCCATCTTCAGTAAGCAGGCAGTGAAGGGCCAAGCTCCCTCTCCCAGGTGAGGCTAGCTTGCTGCTGCCAGTTTACTTCTCCCTCCCCTGTGGTTTGTGTGTGCTGCCATTCTGTGCCTTTAAATCCTGGCTGCGTGGTGGTCCTCCCTTAGACCTTTCTTCCCCTGTGGATCACCAAGCTCCTTTCCTGTAGGAAGACTGAGGGGCTGAGGTTTCAGGGAGAGAGGCCATGGCTCGATCAGGTACAGGTCACAAGCTCCCTGCCTCAGCCCACAGAGAAGGTTCCTGACGAGCCACTGAGCCTCTGTCTGCCCAAAGAAGACCTCCCCGGTCCACCCCAGCCTCGTCATATTCATGGGACTGAACAGAGAGACCACAGAAGTTGTAGTTTAAATGGATCAAAGTCTACGTGGCAGAAGAATCCTTCATCTCAAAGCTTGTCTACATCCTCATCCTCCATACTTGCCTTCCTGTCTGACTTTGTGGCAGCACAGTCATCTACTGGTGCCCTGGTACTGGGGACCCTGAGAACAGGCACAGCTCCTGTGTGATACAGCTCAGCTCTGGGTACTTGAAAAATAAAACCAAAAAACGTTGTTGGCATTTCCTGCACTTGGAGGGATTAAAGTGCTAGTGTGGCCAACTTGCTGAAGCAGGTTTACTTTGTTTTGTTTTTCATACCTGGAGAAACACCATCCCTAATGAAATGTCGTTCTTCAGAGGGTTATCTTAGATATTTGACGGTGGTACTTGGAGGTCGTTGTAAGCGTGTATATTATGAAACCTTTGGGGTTGGTGGCCTCCTTCAACTGAGCTATACATCTAATAGCCAGGGAATAAGAAGTCTCAATTATATGTGTGTTGTCATTTCTACAAAGTCTAGCTGGGCCTGGACATGGGGGTCTAACCAGTCGCCTCCACCACTAAGCATTTTCCCCAGGACTGGGTTTGCCTTAGCCTCTTCCGTTCTTCCTGCAGCTCCTCTCATGCCCTCCCTCCAGGCCCGAGTTTGCCCCCCAGCACCCCCCTATCCACACATGCAGTTCCCGCAGCGGCTTGCTTGCTATTGGGCCCCCCTGTCTTATCTATCTCTGTAGTTTGGTATGTGTGTGCATTTAGTGGCACATGGCACGCAGTTTAAGCAGAGCCCCGAACACCCAGAGACTCCTAATAAGTGTGTACAAAGCCCAGGACGTTGGCTTCCCTGTCGATAACTGAGCTACGATTCTTTTGAGTTGGGACTCATTACAATAGCTACAACCATATTGTAAATTCTACTAACTGAGCACTTCTGTGGGATTGTTCATTTTCAGCCACATTCTATTCATGAAAGTTTGGATTTTTACGGTCTTAAGAACATAGAAGTTGAATTTGAAAGTGGGTTGGGTTTTTGTTGTTGTTGTTTTTAATACAGACTAAGTTGTCCTTAAATTCCTGATTTTAAAAGTCACGTGGGAGATTTATTTTGATTATGCTTTTGGTGAGTTATGAACTTCCTTCGGAAGCAGGTTTCATGTAATTCATTGTTGCTGTGTTTTGTTTTAAAGATTATCACTTATAGAAAGACTGTAGAAACCTAGTGTTATCTTACAGGAGATTAAAAAACAAATGGGATAAACAGAAGTGCAACTTTCATTAAGTCTTTCCAATCTCTTCTCAGTACTATGCAGGATGACATTTTCATTCTTCATGAGCAAGAGTATGACAGTTTGCTTGAGTCCGTCTTCAAAACTGAATTCTTGAGCCTCTTAGCAAAGCGTTATGAGGAAAAAACCCAGAAGCAACTACCTCTGAAATTTAGCAATACGTAAGTGGGGACCGGGGGCCCAAAATTCTGAGTAAAGCTTGATCTCCCCACAGGGGTCCAGGCTGAGAGGAGGGGAGGCCTGTGGGGTAGAGCAGGACTCTGCTTCCACTTAACCCAGACAGCCCTGGGGCCTGCCGAAGACAGTCCCAGTGGGTGTTACACACCTTGAAATGCCACTTTTGTGTTTCTGTGAAGTAATATGGACGGCTGCTTAAAAGGAGGATTTGTCCGTCCTATGGCATAAGAAAATAGAAGTTAAAGGAGCAGACCATGGAATTGTGTCATACAGGCATATAGGCAGTATGACAAATAAAAACTGGCTGGGTAGTTTTGGAGTTGTGAGTAAACTTCCCTTCTATTTGGATTTTGGTTGCTAGTGTGGAAGGGAATTTAATTAAATAATAACCACTTTCTAGGCTGCGGAGACATGGGCTATCTCATGTCTGGCATCTCTCAGTTCTCCCCGAACACGACTGAGGGAAATCAGAGAGGCACAGTGACACATCCCAGTAGGTGTGGCCTGGAGAGTGTCCCCTTCGTGCTGTGCCCTGGGCAGGCGCACCCGAGTTCTCCTGGAGTGACACTGGTACCTCGCTCACCAGCCAGGTTCTCACAGGCGCCGGGCCCCACATACTCCTGCCTCTGGGCTCAGTGGCTCACCGCGCCGCTGTGCCAAACCCCGGGGTGTTGTCCCCCTCCGAGGGCCCCGGGTAGGCTCCAGTCATCCGGGCTGGCCTCGTTCTCCTGCACGCTTGCCCAGCAGCAGAAATCCCCGCTGGGGTCTGCGAGCACCATTCTCTTACTGTGGTGTTCCTGCCCATTACCCACAAATGTCCTTGTCGCAGGCTTGAACTCAAGTTGAAAAAGGAGAATTGGGGTCCCTGGAGTGCAGGGGGCTCCCGGCAAGTGCAGTTCCACCAAGGCTTCGGTGACCTGGCCATCCTCAAGCCCAGTAACAAAGTGCTGCAGGTCAGCATCGGACCCGGGCTGCCCAAGAACTCCCGTAAGTGTCCCCGGCCCCCCACCTCGCCCTCCCTCACCCTGCTCTGTGCCAGACTCGCTTCTCACCCAGTGCTCACGGTGGGTGCACACGTCTGCGGGGTGGACCACCAGCACGGCCCTCAGCGGGCCGCTTCCCCTGCCCCCGGACCCCGACATCCAGCTCCTTCCTTTTGTGTTATTCATGCCTGTCAGTTCCTGCTCTTCTCATTTCCGCGGCCCTGCTCTTTACAAGGAGTTCGGGCAGCACCCCTCTTCAGCTGGATTAATCCTGCCCTCCTTTGTGTCCTCCCTGAGACCTTATTTATTGGTTGCCTTTGCAATACACATGTCTCTGCAGAGATGTCCTCTGCCCCGCAGAGTGCCTGCCGCCGCGTCCTCATTCTGGGCCACAGTGATGCTCCGGGTGGCCCCGGCTTGCTTTCTAGCTCATGTCTGCGTCAAGGGGAGGACAAGTCGGCTTCCACCCTTTGTGGTCTCTGTTTGAATGGAAGGCTGTCGAATGCACGCTGTTGCGGGAAAGGCTCTTGCCCGAAGCGGAGGTGCAGTGAGCGCTGACCCGCGCTGCACACCAGTGACCGTGACACGCAGCACGCACGCGTTCGGCCCCTGCGCCGGGTGCAGAACACGAGCGCGAACCCGAAGACGCCCCCGCTTGCTCTTCTGAAAGCCTACAAAAACAGAAACACTTTTGTAAGAGTGTGAATATCTCTTTGTAAAGCCACGGTCTCTACCGTTTCGCAACCATAGTTCCCTGGACGTATCTTCCGGCCGCTCGGGCCCGAGAGCTCCCAGGACGGTCCCTCCCTCAGACATGCCCCCTCCACTGCGTCCTGCTGCAGATCCGCCTGGCAGCCGGATTCCGCACTCGGCCGGTTTCCCGTCAGCAAAACTCCAGCAGAAGCCATAAAACCAGCCAGTGGCACTGATTTTGACTTTGTCTCGCTTGTTTATTTCAGGTCCCACCAGAAGGAACACAACTCAAACCAGAAGTTACTCCGGGGGGACGCACAACGCCAACTACCCGATGAGAGCTGCCCCTCCCCCTCCAGGTAAGCCGAGCATGCGCCGTAGAACAGGACCGCGAATCGGGACCCCTAACTTGGACCGCGTATTTGGGAGGGAACCCAGGAGCAAGTAAATGCACACATAGCAGCCAGCCGTGAGCCATTTCAGTGCCAGATACACTTCTACCGACACAATGGCCCTGCTTGTGACCCCGAAATGCAGGAGAAGTATGAGCTCGTGAGACTGAACTGTGGCAGAGTTAGCGATCTGGATTTCATTACCTAGCAATATAACTCCCTGAGGAAAGGCTGCTTACATCAGTACGAGAAAAAGGAGTTCCTTGTCCATGACAACCAGAATGTTGTCAGCTTTTCAGTTACAGGATGCGGCCTTCGTGGATCCAGGAGCCGGCCAGCTATAACCGCCGCACCACCCCTCGGTTCCAGCCAAATACCACAAGGATATTTTGCAACTAGTTAATACCTTAATGAATAAGGAGAAATATTTTATTTTCAGTCAGATAGGCTCTAGGACAAGTGCTCTAAAAAAAATAAAGTAACATCTAAAGGAGTTACAGAATTGACACAAAACGTCTTTTAGATCTTACATTTCATATTTCTCATATTTTCTGATAAAACCATAGCATGCAGGTCAGTAAAATCCAAACCTGAGTAAATGCAAGACTTCTTGCCTGTAAAAAATCCATTTAGTGCTTTAAGAGCGCTCTCCAAATTCAAAAAATGTTTTTCCATCACTTACAACATTCAATCAATAAAAAACTGTTGCCCAGAATATTTGGTATTGATAAGCTTAGGCATCTAGGTCTGAAAGGGTTATCTTAGGACCACACTCATTTAACTCAGATCATCCCAGACAAGGGAATCCTATCTGTAGCTGTGTCCGAGGTAAGCAGTGAAAAGCATTTCTTTTGTCTCCTGCTCTGGAATCTCACCGTTGTGTGCTAAAATATGAATACCCGTGCCTAGCAGTAAGAAAGTAATTCTCATCTGTTCTGGAGTCCCCATGCTGCCTGGCCCTGCGCTCTCTCCTCCCCTCTGCCTTCACCCTTGAAGAAAATCCAAGCACAAAAGAACCTAAGAGAACCAGTGTAGGATTGTGTTACTACTTATGTGCTGGCCCGCCTTCCCCCGGGCGAGAGCCTGGCCAGACCACCTGGAAAGCTCGTTTGCCTCAGCTAGGTTGGCCAAAGTTGCCTTAGACCAAATACCTGACCTTGAGCTTGGCTCCCAACCTCTCTACGTGACCATTTCTCCATCAATAAAATGAGGCAGTTGGACCTGAATCCCTTATATCAACCTTTCTCACATTATCTGTGGTGAAGGAACGAAGTCGGTTGGGGTTGTTTTTTGTTTTTTGTTTTTTTTCTCTTTCTTCTCTTAATTTCTTTCTTTTTCAACCCATCGCAAACCATACTTTTGTAAGATATAATAAAAATCACTCAAAGAATGGAATTTTAAAAGCATTCAAAATAGAAGCCCAGGGGCGCCTGGGTGGCTCAGCCGTTAAGCGTCTGCCTTCGGCTCAGGTCATGATCCCAGGGTCCTGGGATCGAGCCCCGCATCGGGCTCCCTGCTCAGCGGGAAGCCAGCTTCTCCCTCTCCCATTTCCCCTGCTTGTGTTCCCTCTCTCACTGTGTCTCTCTCTGTCAAATAAATAAATAAAATCTTTAAAAAAAAAAAAATAGAAGCCCAAATTTCTTACTGGATTCATAATGTGTCTGTGAAATTGCTATGAACATTTCTAAGTGCTTATTCTTAATTTCTGAACTTAATGAGCTGTGAACCTCCCACTTTGAGTATCACAGCCCTAGAACATGCACCTCTCCTTGGCAACCTTGGCAGCAAGTAGGAGCTCACCAGACTCCTTGCTTCCTTAAGGAGGAAACTGACACACTGAAGGGTCACAGATTTTGCTCAAGGTCAAGAGAACTAATGGAGGCAGAGCCAAACCTGACCAGCTAGTCCCTCTTATAAACTAGGGGTCGTCCCATCTGTACCAAAGGGTTCTTTTCTTAACTTGGTTGGAAGAGGTTTTATGGTAGGTTCACCAAAATGTGCCTTGGGGAGTCTTGTTCTCCTTCATTCTTGCTCAGATCTGTCAGTGGGAGAAGAGATAAGAGAGAAGAGACCATAACACGATGGAATGGTGATGCCCCATTTAGCCAGGGCCTGTGGCTCGGAGCCCATCACCATATTCCCTTACTAACCAGGTAACGTGATCTTGACTAGGAACAGTTGTTTGGCTCAGAGAGCTTGCTGTATCTGGATTGATCCAACCAGCGCCACATTTCCCCTGCCTTTGTGGAGTACCCCCTCTACCTCCCACAGCGGGCTCCTGCAGAGGACACCTAAGGCTGACACCCTGGAAATGGATGTCCAACTGTTTAAACAGCTGCCTGCCAGCCCTCTTGAATCATAACCTCACAATTTTTCTCAGATCGAAGAGTGTGCCTGCCAGCTCATGGCCAGCTTACCTTTCCTTGCACGCGGGCTTTGAAACCCTGAACATCTGGTGATTCTAATGTCAGCATGCATGTGTGAGGGTCTGCTGTGTTCCAGGCCCTTGCTCGGCAGCTTACAATGTATTAGCGCGATTCCTCACGATGTATTTGCAGTCATACCCTCTGTATTTTCAGATGGGAAACTGAGGCCTAGAGAAGCTAAGTAGCTTGCTCTTGGCTAAGAGATGGAAGGAATTTGGAGAGCCTTTTAGCAGAAGATCAGAAAATCAAAGCGTTGTTTTCTCCCCTTCTCTCTCTAGGATACCATCAGAATGGAGTCCTCAAAAACCAGTTTCTGCCACATCCCCATGCTGCTGGCAGCCAGAGGTTAAATCAGAAAAGTCTGTACACTTCCATGGCCCGCCCACCCTTGCCACGACAACAGTCCACTGGCTCAGACCGAGTGTCCCAGACGCCGGAGAGCTTGGATTTCCTTAAGGTCCCAGACCAGGGTGCTGCCGGGTAAGAGTCCCACCTCCCCTAGATGAAGCTGGTGACCTCCCTCTCCCTCGATCACAGCAAGGTCCAGGGATTTCTTTGGGCAGTCTCTGCGTGATCCTAGAGTTGTTTTCCACCTGCGTGTTGTAATCCGGGATCCAAGGCCAAGGCCTCGGGGCTCTTGGTTGACATTCCTGAAAGTACAGCCAGATTGAAGGCACACAACTCCTTCTCATGATGGCTTATCATGAACCTCAGAAGACGGTCCCCTTCAGCCCTGAGATTCAGTTATTCTGTGACCTGCCTTGCTGTCTGGCATGGCTGAGGAATGATGGGGTTTTGATCTCTGTGCCTGCAGGTGCATAAACGCTACAGCTCAGAGCACCCTCGGAAGCATGAAGGAAAACATCCCAGCCTTCTATGAGGTGTGGATGTTTTTATGCATACAGATCGTCAGGGCTTCAAAAGGAGAGCCTCTCTGCCTTTCTAGAACTAAAAGTGAAGACTGGTAAAAAGAAACCCAGGGTTTTTAGCTGGAGGAAGGAAAGACTTCTGAAACTCTATATTGATATTCCAAAGAGTCAGCGGTGTGGAAAGGGGGTTGGACATGTCCTGCGGAGTCACCAGGCGTAAAATAAGCCAACCTTAAGATAAGTTGGTGAGCTCCGCCAGCAGGTAGATTTTGGCATCGGTAAACAAAAGAGCATTCTAAAAGCCCAAAGATGAACTGCCCTGGGTTGTAAGGAGCGCCTTGTCCTTGGAAGTGTTCAGGCGCAGGGTGGATAGAAATAACCAGGCAGAAATACTGTAGAGTGATGTTGTCAAACACCAGATCGGGATGAGGATCTTACCTCAATCCCTGTTCCGCATCTAACGTTGGACCTGCAGCGTACCTTCTCTGAGCTTCGTCTTCCTCACCTGTACGCTGATGGGATACCACCAGGCTGGCAGGGCTGTTGGGAGGATGAGAAAGAACGTACATAAAATATACCCGGCACGGTACTGGACATGTAAGGGGCTACTCGGTCAGCTGTGGCTTGGAGACGACGATGGCGGTGGCGGTGATAAAGCCATTATCTTGTGGCGGTTGAACTGGTGACTTGGAAGCAGTCATCCAATCCCACATGATCCCCAGAGGTGGAGTAGTCTTCCCTGCTGAACCCCAGAACGGGCCTGCTCCAGCCCGCTCTTCCCCTCCCTGGCGCCTACCTCCATATTCCATTCTCTCCGTGTCTCTACAGTGATGAAGGTTCGCGTGCGGTCAGGAGACTTGTGTATGAAATAGAGCCTTGCTGGGAGAGCAACAACAGCTCCTCCACCCCCTTCTAGGCCCCATTACAGGATGTTTTTCCTGCCTTGTCAGCTTCCTTCTAAAAGACCGCGAAGCTCTTACAAATGTAACCACGTTCTCCTGGGGTTCCTCTTCCCCTGGCTAGTCTCACCTCATTTGGGCTCCAGATATGAAAGCAGCTCAGTTTTGTACAGATAGGCTGACAGTGGAGGGGTTGCCGTCCTTCGCTGGGTCTCTCCCCACCTACCCCCACGCTTGCAGAACTAGCTGCCCCCCACCAGTTCCGGCGATCTTGGCCTACCTGACTGGCTTGGTCGAAAGAAGTAGTTCTCAGACTTTAATGTGCATAGAATCACCTGGAGAACTTCCTGGCCCACTTCCAGAGTGTCTGATTCAGTGGGTCCAGAGCGGTGCCCAAGAATTCCCATTTCTACCAAGTTCTCAGATGCTGTTGCTGCTGATCCAGGGACCACATTTTGAAAACCACTCATCTGAAGGCATCTGTTGTCTAATTGATAAAGCCAGGAAAAGATTCTGTGTACAAGTGAATGCAAAGGGTGCTGTTGAGGCGGTCGGATTTTACTCCGTAACCCAGACCTATGCTATTCAGATGGATGGACATAGTGAAGATACTCAAACAACCCTTCCTGGGCCCGGGTTGACGTCCCAAAAGTAGGCAGAGGGTGTGAATCAATCAACAAAACGCACCAAATCTCTTAGCTCTGTCTGTTAGCTTCCTCCTTGCTTTGGCTTTGGCAAGCAAGACTATCTTTCCGGCCCTGCTTTGCAAGTTACAGACTTGCACACCAGCCAACAGGGAGCATCTGTCAGCCAAAAGCAGGCAATTGAGGAACATTTTGTCTTAACTGAGGCTGCTCCCTTCCAGCCCTGGGCTGCCTGGCTCCCTTTTTAAGGCTCATCACACCCTTTGCCACTTCTGGGTCTGGGCGTACGTGATGGCGTATCGGGCATACAGGATGGTGCTGTGGTGATCGTGGTGAGGCTGGACGGGGAGGGCCCCTTCGCAGCCACCACCAGGCAGGAAGATGTTCCTGACCCCCCGTGGTGCGTGCCCCTTTGAGGCCCGGGAGCTCCAAGAATCCCAGCCTGCCTCCTCTTTGCACACTTAGATCTGCTGTGATGCAAACATTGCTTTGAAAAATCGCACTCCGGTCAAAGGGCTGAGCTGCTTCTTGGTATTTATTTTCTCAAACACATGAAGTGAAAATTAAAATGATTTCTACTGTGATCAGAGACCTTAGACAGGCCTGAGGCATTTCGGGAGCCTCGGGGTCAGCTGCACTTAGTAACTGCTCTTCACCAAGGAAGCACGAATTGCATTCATTTCATAGCAGCCTGTTGGAGCCAACAGCGGACTCTGGGATCTCAAACCATTCCATAAACACGGACGCTCCTGTGTACGTCACAGTTCCAAACAGTGACCTTGAATGTGCCAGTCCGTAAACACCAGATAACCGTGGTCTTCCTCTGCTTGGGCGTTCACACCCTCAGGCTTATCTTTCTTTTCCCTCTGCCACCCCCAGTGCACTTTCCTGTATGGACATATTTAGCATAAGCAATCATTTCTTTTGGATCATGTAATGTGGATAAAATCAAATGGTGTAATTAGCACCTCCAGTTAATTCAGGAAAGTCTTGGTCAGTTTATTTTAGGTTCAGCCAGGTTTTTTGGAGAGAGCATGAAGCCTTCACTAAATTACCATCCCAGCTGGGTTCTTTACCCTTGCCTTGCCGTGTCTGTGACACAGGGGCTATTCTTAGTGGCATCCTTGTTGTTACTGGCCAAGGAGACTGAGAGAGCTGTGTCCTGCAGTCTCTCGGCATACCTTTTGAAATATCTGATGCAGCTTCAAGATCTTTCCTGATCCTCGGGAAAGAGAACGGGTTAAGCAAGAACCATACAGACAGTTCATTCATCAGCCTTTGCTCTGACTTCACAGGAACACTGTCTTTTCGGTTGGCCTCTTTAATCCTGCGGTCCTTTTCATGGGAGGGCAACTTCACGAAATTTCGAGATACTCCAGAGATTAATCCAACTAGAAGTTGGAGAAACAGAAAACTATTGAAAGCGCTCAGGGATAGGGCTTCTGGCCATGCCACAAAGGGGAGGAATCGAGAGAAAAATTCAAATGCTGCCTGTATGTCTCTTGACAAGATTCTCCTAATGGATTCATATTTTCAAAGGGCTTAAAATTTCCAACGAGTGTCCAATAGCAATATTTCTCAACCCATAATGTACGGGAGCTGGAGCTGTATCCTGGCCCAGGCAGACATGAGGCTTAGGAATTCCTGGCATCCATTCCCACGTTTCCAGTAATGTTTATAGGTTCAACCTTTTGGAACAGAGCATATTTTAAAGAGCCAGTGAAATAAAATGCCATTATTTTCCTTCTTGGAATTTCAAGACCTAAATCCCACATCTGCAGAACGAAGAGGTGATATTAGAGAGCCTCATCCCAGCTCACCCTGGGATCGACCAGGTACAGCCGGCTACCCCAGGGGTGTGGGAGCTGCGGAGACGCTCGGGAAAGGTGGCCTGGCCGTGTGCAGAGAGCATGGGAGTCACAGCTGCAGGGACTGGGTGTCGGTCCCATTCATTTGTTCATCCTTCACTGATTCAGTCACCAGGTATTTACTGAGCCCCGTGCCTGTCTGGGCCGCACGCCGGACCCAGACATCGCTTCCCTGATTACCTACTGTACCCCCTGCTGCTTGTCCCGCCGTCTTTCCACACCTTGGGGTCCTCACCTGAGCCACAAGGATAATAATCTCACGTGAAAGCCCACTCCTCGGGGCGTCTTGAAGATGAAGGAAGGGCTTTGTAAATGGCAGGTGTTGTGCGCCTTGAAAGTTTATTTGTATTGGTTTTATTACTGTTATTCGTGTGCTTCGGCCTTATCGGGAAATAGTCCTATTCTACCGGGATTGAAAGGTGGCTTTACTCTCAAGAATTCCGTGGGGTGGAAGCTTCAGGCGTTGCAGGCTTTAGCGGGGGGACGGGCGGCCTGGGGACAAGGGGACCGGCCCGGGACACAGCTTCCCCCTCACACACGCGGGGAAGAGCCTGCTGCTCTCGTGGGCGCAGAGCAACAGCAAAACGGGGAGCCACCAGGTAACGTTAGAACAGACGCTAGCTGCACTTGGACGATGTGAATAAAGTGCCAAACTTCTTCTCCGGCTCTACCGTTCCCCCCAGTCTTCTTCGAGTGAAACATCCTTTGCTCCTGTCCCCGTAACAGCTCACACCCCACGGACAGTGACAGATGTAACCAGCGGCGAGCCAAGGCACGAACGCTCACTGGGGAGAGCCTTGTCATCACTGGCGTCCGCGGGGGGCTCGCCTTCTCGGGGGCTCTGGGCACCCCGTGAGATTGGGCAGCTGTCCGTGAGGGTTCGGCTGTCGGTGGGTCCCCCTCGGTCCGGCCCCGTCAGGAACACGGGGCAGCCCGGGTGGGAGGCGCCCGAGGAGGGGGGCACCCGGGTGGGGTGGGTTAGAGTGTGACTGCGGCGAGGCCCGGTGCCCTGCTCAGAAAAACGACCTGCTGTGAAAGCAAGTTGCTGTAGCTCGGCTTCGCCGTGTGCTTGTTTTCTTCGTGGGGAAGAGATCCACTCGGGGTAATGATGGGGGTCACGTCGTCGTAGGGAAACCCGATTGCATGGCGCCGAAGGAAACAATGGGCTCAGTGACGTGGAGTTTTAGAACGATCGGTTAA